GGAGCTGGGAATTGAACCTGGGTCCTCTGGAAGAGCAGCTGGTGCTCTTAACTTCTGAGCCATCTCCCCGGCCCCCATGTATCCCTTCTCAAACTTGGAGCTCCAAACTTTCTCCCCTTAGGTTGTTTTTATCAGTTACTTTGTCACAGTGACAAGAAAGTGCTAATACATGGAAGAAACCTGGTTTTAAAAACCATTACATTTATTTGTTGTGAGGGTGGTGGTGCACGCATGCCCCAGCACACATATCCCCACATCAGAGGCTTACGTCACACCCCAGCTGTGCTGTGCTGGCCCTGGAACGCAGAGCTTTGTGCGTGCCAAGCAAGCACACTCCACTGACTCAGCCACACACACGCTCAGCCCCTCACTTGTCTTTTCTAATCCCAGAGCTGTTGTCAGGGATTAGATGAGATAGAACACAGCTTTCCTGCTTTGCAAAGGAAGAAAGTTATCCAGCAGGGAAAGGACGTTTGACATCATGTAGCTGATGATTCAGAGCAAGTTCACTAACTTGGGCCCCTGGCTGGCTCTTGGAAGGCTCCACGTCCCCCCACCCCCACCTCCAGTCCCTCACACCTCTTGCACACTTCCTGAGACACCTGAAGCCTCCGGGCCTGGCTACCGAGGTTTCTGAGAGGGTGGTACCCTGATCCTCCTAGCATGGGGTGAGGGCAGAAGGTGGCAGGTTAAGCAAGTATGGCGGTCATTCAAAGCATCATAGGACCACACGTGGGGCACAGCATACCTGGGCAAAGTCATTCCTCGTGACCGCCAGCATGGAGGACTCCCTCCCTGACTTTCTGGTCACAGCGCTGCTGGGTCAGAGTGATTGACAGACTGCCCAAAGTCCTACAGGGAGTGGAATGCAGACCTGGAGCCCCAGCCCACGCCATCAGATTCCAGGGAGTCCCATTTATCCCGCATCCCCCATCACCCTTCAAACACTGGGTACCCAGAGTCAGCAAAGTTACGTGCAGTAATGGTCAGCCAATGTGAATGTTGAAGTTATTGTGTGTGTGTGTGTGTGTGTGTGTGTTATGTTTACACATGCACACACACGGAACTCAGAGGTTGACGTCAGGTGTCTTCATCTATTGCTCTCTCTTATGTTTTTGAGGCTGGGTCTTTCACTGAACTTGGAACTTACTGATTCAGTTGGTCAGCAAGCTCCAGGGCTCTGTCTCTTTTCACATGCCTCTCCTCCCCAGTGCCGGTGCCGACGGATGCCTGCTATCATGAGCCGCTATGCCAGAACAGAGGCGAACGAGCTTGTGCCTGTCCACAAGGTCGGAATTTATCAAGTAACAATAAACCCACACAGTTTATAGGCTTCAGCAGCCGCAATTTAGCCTGTAACCCACCTGTCTTGGTAGCAAGTGCGGGTTCTTCTATTCCAACATGAATTATGGATATTAGTCCCCAGATTAACACAGAGCCCGGCAAATATATCCATGTTATCTGTATGCACAGGGGCTAAAAAATGAGTACAAGTCAAAGAGGCTGCAGCAGAGTCCAAGAGGTTTCAGAAATGGGCTAAGAAGGAGCCTGTGTTGATAAGACGATGGCCTGGAGGGGCTGTGGCTAGAGCTACTTTTCAGGTCACATTAGAGAGCCAGGCTATGGAGGGAGTTCAGCTATGCGGTAAGAGACCAAACCAGACGTGGAGCAGGAAACAGGTCCTGGTCCCGATGGGCAAATAGCTGGACCGGCAGGCAGTTGATGAGGCCTCATCAGCAGTGGTGGCAGTTGAGGAGTGGGGGTCCTTGACCCACACCCCAAGCATCAGATGATGGGCTGCTGTGGCACCAGGCAGTTCCCGTGTTGAGCGTGTGATCCATGCGAGGGAGCTACCCCCTTTCCTTGGCCTAACTCGTCTCCTAAGTTCTTGAGCCCTGTTTCCTGATAGGATTTCTAATACGCCCACCCATGTGCTTCTACAGTCTCAATCCAGCCCTATAAGATTACGGGGGTAAGTCATTTATCAGTCTGCGCTGGGCAGACGCTGGGAGATCTGCTTCTGGCAGGTGCTGTTGTTTCTGGGTCCACCCAGAGGCGGTCATCCTTGTCCCTCAAAATGGAGACAAAAGCCGTTTGTGAAATGGAACGTTCTAGGGCAAGGCATGGCCTGAAAGACCACTGCCTCATACAGCACGGGGTAAGTTGGAGCAGGGCACAGCTGGGTCTCAGCACTTGACACACCCACGTGGGCGCATGGCGGGCACTTTACCAACACATCCATGCCCCGCCTAGCCCATCCTTTCTCCTCTCTCCAGCGGAGCCTTCTTGCTCCGGTCCAGGAGCATCTTGGTGTGGTGCCTGGAGCAATGGGGCCCAGAACATGATTGTTAGGTGTCTGGGGGGGGGGGAGGAGACTGAAGCACAGCCAGGTGGCCCCGAGCAGACGTTTGTCCAGCGTGTCATGCTGGGAAGTGTTCTACAGATCCTCACATTCTCATACACATCATTACTCTACCCCAGCCTCGGGCAGTGGTGTGCCAGCAATCGGCACGCACGTCTTAAAACAAGCCGCCCGCACCACCCGGGAAGGCCTTAGCATATCGTACCTTTTATCCACCCCGCTCCCTCTGGAAATGTCGCCCGGAAGGGCCCCTTCATTGTGTGCAGAGGGTTGGCTTTGGGGGTGGTCTCTGCAAAGCCGTGTATATGGGGGTGTGGAGGGCACCTAAACTTCTTTAAACTGGGAAACAGTTTGTAACACAGTCACAAATGGAAGTGACTCAGGCTTTCACACCACTGCAGAGGAGCCCCTGAGGACAGGAAGTACCCATGGCTCGTGCCAAGTGAGAAGAGAAAGGACGAGCTGTTGGGACTCATCAAGTCAGTGCTGCAGAGCAGGGAATGTATGGGTGTGTGTTTAACGGTTCAAACACGCACGTGTGTGTGTGCATGTAATGTATATTTACATTTCCAGCTGCTAGCATTTTGGTAGCTCTTTGGTAGTCCTTTTAAGTACGTCTGAGGCTGGAAGGTTGGCTCAAAGGATAAGAGTACGAACTGTTTCCTGCAGGGGACCAGAGTTCAGTTCTCAGCTGGTGGCTGCCAGCCTGTGTGGCTCCAGATGCAGGATTTGGCACCTCTCTGGCCACATGCAGGTAGTTTTATACCGAGGTCAGATGTGGAACTGCCGCCTTTGGTGTCATGCTGGTGCTCCGAAAGTCTGGATTTTAGGTTTCAGATTTCTGATTTTGAAGGAGAGATTCTCCATCTTTGTCACCCTAATATGACATCCCGTGGACCGCCATAGGGAGTGGTGAATATGGTGGCGCAGGCCCGTCACCCCAGCACGTGCAAGGTAGACAAAGGCAGGTGGGAGCTCAAGGTCATCCTCAGCTACACAGGGGATTCGAGGTCAACCCAGGGTACGTGAATCCTGGTCTCCAAAACAAACAAACAAACAAGCAAACAAACCCAAATCTGTGTCCTTGTCAATCTTTCTGTTTCTGAACGTGATAAATCATACAGGTAATATACTTGTGTGGGCGTTTGACCAGCACATGTGTCTGTGCCAGTGGAGACTAAGAGAGGGCACCAGATCCCCTGGGACTGGAGTTACAGAGGATTGCGGGTGCTGGGAATCAAACCTGGGTCCCCTGGAAGAGCAGCCAGTGCTCTTAACTGCTGAGCCGTCCCCCTATCCCCAATACAGTCACTACACACAGTTCTTACATATGGTAACTGCATTACTCTGACCCTAGTGGGCTGGAAGGGGGCTAGGATGGAACTCAGTAGCCCAGAGCTCACCTACAAGGTCCTATATTTGATCCTTAGCATTGAAAGTCTTTTGTTTGTTGGTTGGTTGGTTGTTTTTTTTTAAGAGAATGAAAAACAAAAAGCCTGGAGGGATGTCCATTAAAGGGTGATTAGCGAGTCTCTCTCTGGGCAGTGTGGTTACGGATAATGTTTTATTATATTTATTTATTCACTGTGGGGATAGGGCACATGTGAGCCACCGTGTGTGTGGAGGCAGAGGACAGCTTGGAGGGTGACGGTTCTTTCCTTCCATCTTGTATGTTTTGAGGCTTCGGTTCAGGCCATCAGCCTTGGCAGCAAGAGCCTTTACCCCCTCAGTGAGTGGCCCTACAGTTTTTCCTGTGTTTCTTTTTTTCTACCAGCATTCTTTAAATTTCCCACAACAAGGCTCTGTCACTTTGTATTACTACTACTGGAATTGCTTAGTGACACCCTAAAATAATTAAAACAGAGTTTTCTTCTGTCTAGAATCATCCTTGGTCTTTGAGGGTTGGGCATGCAAAATGGCCATGGTCGAAGGCAAAATAAGGGGCTGGGAACAAACAGGCAGACACAGACTATGCCTGGGGCAAACATACACGAGCCTACTGAGCTCGGCAGACATCCTGCCGGGCTCCACATATGTCCTGGTTCATTTTCTACTAATATGACAGAATACCCAGGCTGATTCTGGTGAAGGGCAGGAAGCTCGGGTGAGGGTGACGTCTCACGGTGCATCATAATGCAAATAGCATCAGAGCAGCAGGTGCCTGCAGGAGAGATGAGCGAGCTGGGAAAACGGACACGCCTTAGCACAAGGCTCCTTCCGCCCTGTGAGAGAAGGAGCACCTGTCTAATCTCTAATGAGTATCACAGGCCCCACTTTCTCTCCACCCCACCGCTGGGGACCACGCCTCAACACACGTCACTTACATCACCTCGTACGGGTGTCCTGGATTTGGAAGGCTCCTTCGCTCACACACACTGTCAGCCCAGTTCATGTCTGTGCCCCCTGTGGTGTGTTATGGCTGCTGGGGCATGGCTGCTCCCCAGAGCAGTGGCAGAGTTTTCCCTGTAGGAATTCTTGTTTTTCCGGAGAGACAGGATCTCAGTATGTGTCCCAGATGGAACTCGAACTCGTGACCCTCCTGCCTCTGTCTCCCTGGCCGTTGGGATGAGGAAGCACGCCCAGGTTTTGAAAGCCCTCATGGCATTAGAGTCCTGACGCCAGTTTCCCGTTCACACAGGCCAGCTGGACATCATCTCTATGGCTGAGACCAGCATGATGCCAGAGGAGATCGAGCTGGAGATGGCGAAAATCCAGCGTCTCCGTGAAGTCCTGGTCCGTCGAGAGTCAGAACTCAGGTTCATGTGAGTGAGTCGGGAAAGCAAGGTGGAGGCATGGAGGATAGAGGCGGCCTGGAAAACGTGGGGTGACTGAGCATCATGTACTAACATCAAGCCCTTACCGAAAACCCCCCCAGGGACACCACATGCTCAAGGAATTAAACTCAGTTTTCTTCCCTCCCCCTCCCTCCCTCTTTCCCTCCCTCCTTCCCTCCTTTTTCTCATTCTTTCTTTCTTTTCCTTTCTTGGTTTTGACTTTCTTTTTTAAGATGGTTTTTCTGTGTAGCCCTGTCTGTCCTGGAACATACTATGTAGACCAGGCTGGCCTCAAATTCAATGATCTCCCCTGCCTCTGCCTCCCCAGCGCTGGGATCAAAGGTGTTGCCACCATGCCTTGCTTAAACTCAGTTTTCTTAATTTAAAAAATTTTAAGGAAAGAAAATAGAATACCAACAAATTATAAAAATACATCCTAGTTTCTTTGGTGAAAGAAGATAGGATTGGGTCACCATGGAAGATTGTAAAGGTACAGGTGGCATCTAGAGTCTTCTCTTTCTGGAAATCACAGGGTTCCTGGGAGCCTTAAGAAATTTGTCTTTAAGACTGGGCCATGGCGGCACACACCTTTAATCCCAGCACTCAGGAGGCAGGGGCAGGCGGATCTCTGAGTTTGAAGCCAGCCTGGTCTACAGAGCGAGTTCCAATAGTCAGGGTTACACAGAGAAACTCTGTTTCAAAAACACAGAAAGAACAAAAAAAAGAAGGAAAAGAAAGAACTTTTTCTTTATGCTATTTAAAGTGGGAAATACCAGAAATTGGTTATTTACGGCATTTCTCAAAAACTCTGCTCTCTGGCCTGTCATGTAATTGGTGCATTTTGTTGTACTGAGAAATGCTTTTAACTTCCCATCTCCTTGGAGCTGAGCTGGGCTGGCTTACCAGCTCTCAAGTGGGCATTAGAATGTTAACAGTATGGGGGGGGGGGTACTGTGAAAGCGACACATGGAACTATGAAGGTTTGTGTACACACGTGTGTGTGCGTATGCAGTCGTGTGTGTGTGTGTGCGTGTGTGTGTGCGTGTGTGCGTGTGTGTGTGCGTGTGTGTGCGTGTGTGTGCGTGTGTGTGCGTGTGTGTGTGCGTGTGTGTGTGCGTGTGTGCGTGTGTGTGTGTGCGTATGCAGTCGTGTGTGTGTGTGCGTGTGTGTGTGTGTGCGTGTGTGTGTGCGTGTGTGTGTGTGTGCGCGTGCGCGGGGGGGGAGGCAGGTTCTTATTTTGAGCCAGGAGAAACAGAAGGCTGGTTTGCTGAGGGCACCAGCCACAGCGGTCCCGGGAAAGGGCACTATTGAGTGGCTAGTATGTGAGTGTACAGCCTCTTGCTCATTCTAAGGAGATGTGTTAGGGTGTTTGGAGTAATTTTTAAGTTATGTAAAACACGTAGAAAGTATGTGCTTTGCACAAGCATTAATTTTATACGCAAAAAAAAAGAATCTTAGGTTCTCACTATAACCTAGAGGCGTGGGCATTGTCATTTACTACCTCTCGTTTGGGTGTGTTGTTTGACAGTGTCTCCCTGTGTATCCCAGGCTGGCCCGTGCAGCACCATGTTAGACAAGGCCCTGGGTTGAGTTCAGGCTAGCTTGCTTCCAAAGCCGCAGCTGCCGCCCTCACGTGAGCTGAAGAGGCAAAGCTGGGCCACACAGGCGAGTGACTCCCTGGGCTATGGCGCCCTGAGGGCAGAAGCGGGGTAAACGGCACCTTTTCCTAGGGCTGCCTGGTGGCCTGGATCTTCAGAGCTCAAGATTCCTGGGGATAGAGCGGAGGGTCTCCCAGGAGAAAATAGGTTTTTAAAAGCTGGGTTCTAACAAGAGCACGGTGAGCATTTAGAATCCAAGCAGAGCAAGGAGTTAGGAGACAGGGACTCCTTCCAACACCTTGGAACCTGGAGTACCAAAACAGCACTTCCAAACACCAGCGCCTGCAAGCAGGAGGTGCCGCCATCTTTCCTGGCTCTTCGAGGGGTCTCCATGACCAATGGGAACACACAGTGGCTCCTAAACTTGAAGATGCTTATGCCCAAGTGAGCTTAGTTCCACCAAACAACAGCTGTGCATCTGTGTGGACTGCCGAGTCCCCTGGCCCGTGCAAGCAGAGGGCTAGTCCTGGTCAGATTCCTAAGCAAGCATTCAACTCAGGTTACCGGGCATGGAAAGCATGGGAACTCTAAGGAGACAGTAAGTGCGGCCAGATCCGTATCCTTCTAAAATAGGAAACAACACAAAACAGAGGTAGTCAGGCTAGACGGACATCTCGGCTGTGTGTCAGCTCAGTCCCACACTTTCCTAGAGGTAGAATTGAGGAGCATCACCCTCAGACAGGCCACACCAGCATTCCTTCCTTCGGTGATTTTTTCCAGCCCTGCCTGTTCAGCCGTGTGTGTGATTATCCAATGTGGCAAGAGGAAAAGAAGGTTCAGGGGGTAAAGCAGTGGTCTCGGGCCTCCCAGACACGGGAAACAGGGAGTTAGGCTCCATGCCCGTTCCCCCTTCAGCCCTATGCTCTTGACGTAACATTCTACACGTCTCGCACTCCGTAAAATGGAGAGCAATACTGACTGCAGCCCTCCGTTCTATTCCACGTGTGCTGAGTGTGGCTTAAACACAGGGCCGGATGATTGGTGGGCCTGACTCTGCTGATGTGACCTTTGGAGAAAGGAAGGTTTCAGAACATTTCCCGGTTTACAGATAAGAAGCAATGTTCCCTTTGCCTGGAAATAAGCAGATCAAAACATAAGTTAAGAAACAAGACCCCGCCCCACCTAAGCATTAAAAATAAGACAAAGAGTGCATAGCTGCTTTGGAGGATAGAAGACCCCTTAACCACCTCTCTCTCTCTCTCTCTCTCTCTCTCTCTCTCTCTCCATCTATCTCTATCTATCTCTCTCCCTCCATCCCCCCTTTCTGGTTTTTCAAGACAGGGTTTCTTTCTTTGTGTACCTTTTGAGCCTGTCCTGGAACTCTTTCTGTAGACCAAGGTGGCCTCGAACTCACAGATATCCACCTGCCTCTGCCTCCCGAGTGCTGGGATTAAAGGCATGGCCACCACAGCCCAGCCTCAACCATCTCTCTTAATGTAGCATCTCCAGGATCCTGAGCAGTGCTGGTTACTTAGGCCAATTAACATTTCTCAAATATTCAATACATTACCTTTCTCAATCTTAGTCATCCTTATCCCCCGAGGCTTGTCATTCTCTGTGTGTCTCTGTCTCTGTCTCTGTCTCTGTCTCTCTCTTCTCCTCCCTCTCTCTCATTCATGTGCACAAGATCTCTCTACCTAGAGTAAGAGGAAGACAGTGTTAGACTCTGCACCCTGTTGAGTGTTTTCAGGCTTGTGGCAAAAGTTCTGCCTGACCTGAACCTAGGAGCCTTGGGCTGAGCCAGGGGCAGTCATGGCCACAAGGAGACTGATTCTGTCACACCTGCTCTGAGGCAATCATGTAAGTCCACAGCCACTGTGGGGCCCATGAATTAGCCTGTGTCCCACAGGCAGGGTGGCCACGTGCAAATCCTTTTGGATCACTCCCTCAGTTTCTTCCTTGGTGTCCTGCTCCTCTGTGTCCCACAGGCAGGGAGGCCACGTGCAAACCCTTTCGGGTCACTCCCTCAGTTTCTTCCTTGGTGTCCTGCTCCTCTGCCCTCTGGGCTGCAGAGCTGATCCTCGTCTCTCTCCTGCCAGAATGTTAAATAGTATGAGAGGGAAATTACCCGTTCCCTGAGCTCAGGTGAGAGAACTCAGGAGCTTTTCCTAGTACTTGGGCCCAAGGGAAGGCAGCTACGATCTACTGTTTCCTGGGGACCTCACAGTGTGCCCTATGCACGATTCATTCACAGAAACCAACAAAATGTAGTCTCTGCTTGTCCCCTACATGGATGTAGAAACTGAGGGGAGAGAGACATGACTGATTCAAGATCAGTAGCTTGCACAGCAGAAGCACTTTGAACCCATGAAGTCTGTCTCGGAGGCAGATCCTTAACCTGAAGCTGATCCCGGGCCCTCAGTTGTCCAGCCCTTACGGAACAAAGCAAGCTCCTGTCTGGATGCCAGCAACGCCCACATTGGGTTTCTGTCTGCTTCACCTTCTTTCTCAGGTCCCCAAGAAACCTGGGACAAGGGTTGTTCAGTACCCAGACGCCACACTGCACTACACAGCCCTCTCGGCCTTACTCTCCGAAGGCCAGCAACCATGGACTAAATGAAAAGGGAGACAGGAGAGGCCACCTGGGCGGCTGCTCATCCCTCCGCCTCCTGATGGTAGACACGGGACAGACCAGTCTCGCGTTCCTGCTGCCCAGCCTCCTCCACAATGACGGGCTGCTCCCACAAACAAACAGTGAGCCCAAGGAAGCCCCTCCACGTTTCTGCTGCTTTTTGCCAGATATTTTGTCCTAACAGGAAAGAAAAGTAACTATCACGATACTGGTATAGTTTTAGTCCTCCTGGGCTGTGGCACATACTAAGTGCTTCTTAACAGGATATTTCAAGATACCCAGACCCATGCAGTCAAGTTATACACCACAGTCAAGTTCATAAGCCTTGGTCAGATACACAGCCTGGTCATAAAGGAGCCTCCAGTGGTGTGGGTCTCCCAATCTGAATACCCAGTGTGTCTTTCTTTTAGCTTGCCCTCTGGCTTCGAACCTACAAATTGCCATTTTGGTGTCTCTTTGCTCATGTTTGTTGATCTTTATGAACTTTTCCTTGAAGAAGTTGTGGAGCCCCTGGGTCTCAGAGAAACAACCCCCCTCTCCCTGCAGCAGCCAGAAGGTAGCTGGGAGCTGATGGCTGGGGCTTTCTTCCTCCTGGGTGCTGTTGTCTCTCCCATCCTGTCTGGTGCTACAACCTCAGGCATCTTTGCTTTCCCTTCGTCCCAGTCAGGGATCACATCACTAGCTTCTAACAACTTACACAGCCCTCGGCTGCCTGGCTCAGCTCTCTGTCCCGCTGCTTATCTAGGTTCCAGAAAATT